ATAGTTTTTACTCTTCTTATGTTGACCAACTATTCAAGTGCAGTTTTTGTTCTACTTTTTATTATTTTCAGAGCTTGCAAGGAGGCCTTGGGGCAAAAATCAGCTATGGACCTCTAAGAATCATGAGTAAAAATGCAAGAGCTGCCCTAAGGCCCTTATCATTTCAGTTGCTAGTTCATATTACTGCACACATTTGCAATTAATCCAAAAACGTATTGTCACAATCACTCAACTTAAGACCTAAGTCTCCTGAGGGTCAGGGGCCTGAAGGCAGTTGCCCATTTTACCCAATACATTATCAAGTCTTAGTTATTTGTGACTATTTTTGTCTCAATATACATTACAGTTGCTTTTTATGTTAGTTTATATTGTATTTAGCCGTTTAATATTAGTATTTCCATGTTTAATTTGTATATGTAAAAAAAAAACTATAATTTTTGCATCTGGTATTGTACTTTTGCTGTTGTGTGAGTTGCCCAGTGTGGGTTCAGTAAGATCTATCATTTTACTAAAGGGTGCAACTGATCATTTTTATGTTTTTTTAGACCCACATTTGCAAATGTATCAGTTTCAAACATTCACTTCAGGTTATAACTAAGGTATAGTGAAAGCAAAATTCAGTTCATTTTGGGTAGCCCACCTTTAAAACCATATACTTACTTTGAAAAAATTCAGACTGGGCCTTTAAACCTAATTTGTCACACCCTAGGCCCCTAAACAGAGAATCTCATCTGGCTGACTCTAACCGTCTCCCATTCTGTTCTCTTTCTGCATGTATGCGTGTGGTCTCATAAACTGCATCTCTTTCCACTTCGTCTTCATTTTTACACGCTTTCATTTCTCTCCTCTATTTACCAAAAACCCCTCTAAACTCATAAAGTCTGTGTCTTGGGGGAGGAATCCATCTATCTTCCGGACACCAAATTGAATTGATCTCAGGGGCCCCCACCTCGCCTCTCTCAAAAGGGGCCATCTGCGTGCGCTTCCCAGCTTTGAATAAACGTGAAGAAGTGGCAGCACGTGCCGGAGAACCTGGAGCTGCTGTTCACTGCTGTAATCTGATTTCACTGCAGCTCATTGATACACACATCAGAGCAGGGAGGTCACTAGTCAATCTGTAATTGCTATAAACTATTAATTTTTTAGAGAGTGTTTTGAATAATCACATATTGATTAGAAACATTTATTTATAACCTTTAGATAAAATAACAGCAAAATTACCTCTATACAAATTGACATTGGATGACTGACAAACAAATACTCATACACTTGATTTTTAAATATAACTTACAGCAGATATACTGTAGCCTATAGAAAACCTGCCAGATGGAAGAGATGTTTACATGTGTATTTTGATGCTCTCAGGTCCAGTAATGGCAACACATTGCCACACGGTGGCGCACTAATCTTAAACTATGATGTTTGACTGCAGCAAGTACACATATTGTGTGAGAGAATCAGAATGAAAATGATGTTTATTCATGGATGGATGACTGAATGTGCCTACTGGGCACAGGCCTAGGGGCCCAAGGGGTCAGGGGGTCCCTAGACCAGGGAACCATGAAAGGACTGTTAACCTTTCTGCTGGAAAGTCAATCAAATGACTTCAAAACAACAACAAAACCCCCAAAAGATAGATGCAAAACAACTACAAAGAAATAAAAAAGGCTAAAAAAAGAAGCAAAGACACCAGTGAAAATGTGCGAAATTACAAAATGAGACAACCTCCCACACCTACCCCCAAACACACACCCACACACACCCTATCCATCCCTGACACAGCACTGGTGTTTGTTTGGCAGTCCGTGGGGAGGCTCAGGGGTCATGTCCCAGTCATGACCTCCATTGTGTTCTGGAGGGGATGAGATATATCTCGGGGTGACTGTATGTGTGTGCTGGGCTAAGGATGCACTTCAAAGGAGCCCAACATATTGATTCATATACAGGCGTGTAATTGCTGGAGGCATCTGTTGCCTTGTGGTTTGAACTTCCGTGTGTGTTTGGAGTCTGAATGATCTGGCCTTTGTCTCATGACACACTAGAGGAAGAATGGCAGCAGCATCCAAGAAATGTGAAGTCAATATGTTTTAACTGACTTTGTGAGTCTTCATGTACATAAATAAACATGTATTAGTGTTGAAGATCGCCTAGTGTTAAAACACTGCTGCTTATGCACAAGCATTTCTACTTTATACTAGAGGGAAATTTAGTAGTTTTTACTCAGATACATTTAATCTGACAGCAGTTTCACACAACAAAAGCAAATATTCGATAGAGAAGTCCGTAAGTCAATTGTATGTTTTACTCTCTCTCCTATTAATCATTTTATGGTCCTCCAAATGGATCTGAACACTACCACACTACCTAAGAAACTTACAATAGGGGACATTTTATAAAGAAAGGGACTTTTACTTTGATAGTTTAGATATGCTTTGTTGATGATATTGCTCTACTTTAACTATTTCAATGCAAACTGGCCAGTAAAGTATAATTTCATGTATGTGAAAATCCCAGTGGCCAAAGTATAATTTCATGTATGTGAAAATCTTACTTAAAGTAAGTTCACAGTGACTAATAGCAGGGTTAGCAGTAGGCCAGAGTCAAACAACAAGTCAAATACTTCCATGTTGTCCTTTATTGAAGGAGAAGAAGTTATCTGGAGGATAAGAGGTTTATTAGTTTACATTCCCTCTCTGTCACTGACTGTGTCCATGCCAGATTGCTATCACACCACTGTTTTGTTCTGTTGCTTTGAGCGAGTGAGTGGCTGTATTGCTGACAGCTGTTTACCTTATTCTGCTTCATGAGCTGTGACACAAACACTGCCAGTCCGCGGGTAGAGGAGACGAAAGAGCCTGGCACTATGGCGCTTGTCTAAATATTAAAAAACCCTTTTAGGAAATAGTCTTTTGTAAACTTTGTTGATATAATAGAATTTAAGTCTGTTCTGTAATTCCTGAACTGGCTGTCCAAAAACTTCAGTTCCTAACTTAATAGATAAAACATTAGAATGCAAAATTAACAGCAACAATGACAGCACAAGGTAGCAACATACAAGTGTAGGTACTTGTAGCATAGCTGTGTCAGACTGTAGATTCTGACTGTTCTCATTATACTTCATATCCCTTTACTTTAGTCTTCCCAAGACTAACCTCTGCGTAATGCAAATGAAAGACTTGTTAATGCAACAGCCAACCTAGACTCTGCCGTTCTTTGCTCCCTGTGAAGGCCATCTGACAGTTTAGGGCAGCATCAGATGGTTTGTAATGGTTGTGAGTTTGGGGAGATAATTGTTCATCTTCACAAATACTTCGTGGCACATAAAGGAGCAGCACTTGAATCCTCATGTGACTCCTTTGACACAAAAAGGTCATAAGTCAATTAGCATTCAAAATAATATTTTGCTTATTTTTACTTAACTTTGATGTTGGAGCTTCACTGTGTAAAATGGTCCAGAATTACAACTTAGGTATGTGTGATGTGGGATGATGGAATTTTAAAGTAAGGTGATTGAACTTTTTTGTGGAAAAACATTACTATTCACAGCAGAACTTGAACTTAATGGTTCTAGTTTCTATAAGCATATTTCCAAGCTCTGTTTGTTTTACTTCTCTATTCATCTGCTAGTAATTTATAATAAGGAATTCAAACTATTCCTTATTGGAACCAGAGCATCACCACAGCCTCTGTATATGACACTGTAATCAACAGTTTGTATTGTGACAAGCCGGGGCCCCTCCTATGTTGAAGACAGCCCCCTAGCGCCATGTTTCCGTACTACACCCCCACATGCTGAGAAGCACTGCCCCCCTGTGAAATTCCTCACTGCCAGGGTGATTCCTGCGGTTACCAAGGGCTCCTTCCTACTGCAGCCTACCGTGTGCTGTGGGGCAAACTGCTTTACAACCTGCGGATAAATGATCAACTATGGGAATAATATCGCCACCAATAAAGGGTGAGTTGTGTTTTGATAACGCTGGAGATACTGTCGGTCATGTGTTCTTGTGCAGATGTTGGAGTGCGGGCTCAGTAGTGTGTGAAGCTCAGGCTTAGCCTACAGGCTATAATGTCCTATGTAGAGTCCTGTAGCTTACAGAAATGTAGGGTGACGTGTCTGTTATTTTAATATACACAGAACAAAGACTGTTGTTCAGGGTCAGGCTGAACCTGTGTTTTGTAAGGAAAGACTTGGGAACACGCCCTTACTGTCTTGCCTACCTGTATGAAGGGGAATGCGTTCAACTTCATTTAACTGCGGTCAGACCAACGCACAAACCCAGACTGGGGAACGGAACCGTTTATGTTCATTTTCGCTAAAGTTTTTCGATAGTATCGCTTTGGAACAGTATACCCTTTGATGGCGGCTTTGTCAGCCAGAAAGTTGCAGAGCCACAGTGTGACCAAGAGAAAAGTCAAACTGTTTCATGCGGTTCACTTGATCCGCATTAGCCCGGCTGCCGTACCGCAGCCCAGCTGTAAACTGTAACCTGCTGCGACAGAGTTGACGCGGACGGATACATGGTAGCTTTCCCAGCCTCGGAAAACAATGAGAAAGCAGAGAAACAAACGCAATACCTGCTTGAAACTACGGCGCAGTGCTTTGATTTTTCAAGTAGCCTTGCAGATAGGGTGGGGTTGGGGGGCTTCCGAGGCCACGGTCAAACCACGGAGTTTCCTGCGGCTAGGTCCGACTACCTGCCGGCTCACAGGTGATAGCGGGCTGCTCTATTTAGTCTGGAGATCCACCTGACCTGACAAAGTTAGGCGGATGACTCTCCATAAATGTCCATTTTTCTTTTAAATAATAAAACTCTTCCTTTTGGTTGTCCGGTTTAACCAACTTAACTGATTTATATTATTAACGTGTAGCTATTATAAGCAATAGTTGCTGCCATATAAAACTAGTCAAAATGCTAAACAGGTGCTCTGCAGCAGGTGTTCAGCATGGCGACGTTTGATTAATAAGCCTTAATGATTTTCGTTTGAGCTGAGTCCTCATTGGCTGGTTTCACTTTTTATTCGGATGCTTATTGACAGAAACATTATTAATATATTTTAATATAGTCTAATGCAACCTACAAACTATTCTTTGGTGTTGATAAATGTTGTAGTTACTCCTTGGCGATTAATTTGCATATTCTGCATTAATTGTTTGGTGTTGCTATAAAGTGTCAGATAACACTAGGATTGTCCATCATAACACCACACTTTGGATGACATTAAAAGGTAACAATTTCTTCCTTACTGTAATTGATGCAAGTCCCTAATTATCATAAATACTTTTCTGTTCTGGATTATACTTACATTTGAGCATTGTGTGATTGTAATCACACACTGATTCTTTTTCACTTTCTGCCCCAGAAAAGTAACATGGCTCTGGTTACAACTGCAGAGAGAATGTGGACAGCATCTATGACACCTGTCAAGAGCTTACAAGGTAGATAGTTGATCAAACTTCAGAGCTCAGGACATGTATATTAGTATCAGTTAAAAGCATTTTGGTGAAGTCTTTCTGGACAACGTTCTCAGTTTTATTTCCTTACTTAATTCACAGGACATTTTCTATTTAACCTTTATTTTACCAGGTACAATTTCACTGAGGTTAGAGCTGGCTA